AAAACCCCAAAACCCCAAAACCCCAAAACCCCAAAACCCCAAAACCCCAGAATTTGAAAGAGTGGTTGAAATATAGAATTAGTTTAAAAATGAAAAAATCTGCAAAATGCGGGACTGTGGGATGTAGTCATGCCGCGTCTGCTTATATTCCTGACCTTGCTAAGCATTCATGTGCTGAATGAACTGCTACTTTACATAGTCAAGAAGAGGCAGATGGGCTTCCGGATCTTTATATTGCTTCGCATTCTCTTGGATATGCACAATTTCTGCTTGAACAAGCCTCTGATCTAGTGAGCACTCATCATATGGACAATGATTGGAAGGATCTTGAAGAGGAATATGAGCAATTTGATCTAAAATTACAAGAGCTTCTAGAAAATTTTCCTACAAACCCTGACTCAAAGGAGATCTGGAGCTTAACCAAGGAATGAAAGACTTTTGTGAACTGTTTGAAGAAATCTGATATAATGGAGAGATTCTTCAATTACAAAATGTATTTCCAATACATCACGCAAAGACCAGAAGATTGAATGACTCCTTCACAACTCTACTTGTCCAGGAAGAGCAGTAAGACTAGCTCTGTCTTCAGCAAATCTGATCGTAAACTTCGAAAGAGAGACCTCAAAACCCTACATAAGAGTGAGGAGAAGAGGTTCTTACCATATTGGAGAGAACAAGAGGTTATCAAGCAAAATGAGAAGATTAAAACTGAATTGCAAGATACCATCTCTACTAAGCAAAAATCAATAGATTTGCTCAAAAAGTTCAAGACCAAATTTGAGACCAAAACAAGAGGCGTTGTCAGAAATCTCAATATGGATCTTCCTATCGAAGAAAAGAAAGTGCCTTCCTCTTTATGCGATCAGAGCTTGGATACAGATCCTCTTTCAAAAGAGCAGATTTGTATTGATTCTTATAAGCCCTTAGAAGAAATCCTCACACACTTTTGGAAAGGACCAATCTCTATTGACAGTGATTTTAGCCTGATGCTCAACTGCAACTGGACACATGATAGTATAAATTTGATGGAAGAGCTCTCAAAGATAGTCTTACCAAAGATTGACATGGTTAATATTTATTATGTAAACAAGCTGTCTTTAAAAAGGAACAATGATGAAGTTCAAACTCTGAACAAGTTCCTCAAAAAATCTATCCCGAAGGGCCTGGTTAACTTCAAATTTAACCAGAATGATATGGAGACAAGCTATCCTTTCAATTTCTTCGATGTTTCGCTGCAAAGCGTTGCTAGGAAAGTTGTGAACAACTATGAATTAAGTTATTGCAACCTGAAACAAAAGCAGTTTGAAAGCATCGTGCTGGCTGGGAGAAATTGCAAGAAGATTATTTTCAACAATTGCACAATAGAGTCAACTTACCCTTGTAACTTTACTGGGATAGATACCGGTATTTTAGACTCAGACTATGACTCAGAAAAGGAGAGCAAACTTATGTTCGAAGAATTAGACTTCAGATATTCAGGAAGAAGTGAGAGAAGCAAGTGGAACGAAGAGATCGAGAGATTCGAGAACATAATCATTGGGCTACAGCAAGCACAGGGATTACATAGGTTCAAAAGAATCAACATTCACAAGTGTGGTATCAGTCAGGAAGCAGCATTGGATGTCTTGGAAACCCACGGGTTTGAAAATGTAGAGGTTATAGGTGGAGATGATAAATAGAGATTACTGATAAAATATGACAGCCTAATCGTGTTCCATCTTGCGCAAATTTTTAAATTTGCAGTAGATACAAAAATTTCAATTTTATATATTGACCAGGGGTTTTGGGGTTTTGGGGTTTTGGGGTTTTGGGG